TAGTTAATATTTCAAATAGTAAAATTTTGTATCTGAGTTTCAACAAGACTGTCAAAGAATAAAAAAAAAAAAAATATATATTATTATGAAAAAAGATAAATTATATATAAAAAAAGTTTAAATAAAGAGGATGGCGATTCTAGTGTAGTGGTTGGGTTGTTATTTTCCAAGTGACAGATCTAAGGTTCAAATTTCACCTACAATGAAATTTGGAAATTATATCTGCATTACAGTAACTGTCTCCTGTTGATCGGTTGGCCTCATGTGGCTGTTATCCAGGTACACCAAGTCAGGTCCTCTTGATATTGAGAGCTTAGGCATCTATGTGAAGTGTAATATTATATATACATAGAAGAATGTTTACTGGTATTGCATAAGACTTCAGTGCAAACCTATGATAATACTACTGGGTGTAGAAGACTAAGGAACTGAGGTAATGAAAACCCACTTGGAAATTCCTGAGTAAAGAGATAGCATGAACTTTCAATGGTACTATTAAACTGTTTGAAGCTTACAAAACACCTTCATAGAAACTAAAGATTAAAACCGAACAGCAAATATATGTAGAGGAGCACATAACCAACCAGGCTGCCAGGTTTGCTAGAGGAAAAGAATACAGAAGTATACCATACTGGGCTATCTGAATTGGTAGTCTGGAATGAGACCAATAGTTCTAAGTTGTGACTAGTAGAGAATGATAGAAAAAATGCTAAAAAAGATAGATACTAGGGTTCTAGTAAACTTTATAAAGGTAGAAATAGTATAACATAGTGGTTAAACAGATAACCTCTGTGACTGCAAGTGTTAGATAACTATAACATGTTGCATAAAACTAGGTCTATATATGTGTGACATAAAGGAACTAGTAAGTTTTTTATCAAGAATAAAATAGTCCTAAGAGTAATGATAAACATCAAGAACTTGGATGGGCAGTGCCTTAAGATGTTTTTGTAATACAAGAAGGACTGCATATGCAGAAAGTTTAAATAAGCAAGACTCCTAGTTGGCTTGCAGATATGACAACTAGTATAGAACTTATATAGTAATATGTAAGCAGACTACTTAAATTAGGCACCAAAAGTACACATATAGCTAGTTGTAACCTTTAATATAAAGGAGCCCTTGGAGGCATTCGTTTCTAACAAAACTTGAATAAAATATTGCATCTCCAAGATAGAGACTTTAATTATAAAAAAAAAAAAAATTTAAATAAGCAAGTTTCATAATTGACTTACAGGTATAATATCTAATATAAAACCTGTATAATAATATATAAATAAACTACTTAAAGTAGGCATCAAAAATGCATATGTAGTTAATTGTAATCTTCTATATAAAAAATTTTTTTTTTTTTTTTTGTTAAAAGCCATACTTGTGGCGATACTTTATTGACTTTATATCGGGTTAGCTATTACAATTATTTTTACAGAGATGAGAATATAGCTAGTCATATATGTAACTTTTGGTTGCCTATTTAAATAGTCCACTCTAAGGTTCTACACTAGATGCCATACCTATAACCTACTAGAAGATTATCTATTTAAACTTTCTAATTATCTGTCTTGTTATATTGAAATTCTCAACTAACCCCCTGTATATACCTACTAGGTATATCATCTAAGCAGTATAGTACCTACTCTTTTTGTACTGGTTCTCAGGTCATTACACATTTGAGAGTACATTACCTGCCAGTAAGATGCAAAGAGTTCTTGTTATTAACTATCTATCTATTTTTAGAACACTAACACAGGCTACCTTTACAGAGTTCACTCAGATCCCAGTACTGACTTTACAGCATATTCTTAGTACTTTTAGTATATTTTTGCTTTGAACCCAAACTCCCAATCCAGATAGCCTAGAAGGACTGTGACCTGTTCTTGGTATATTAAGGCCAGCCTAATATTCTTTTCCTTCGGTCTGAAATCTGGTAGCTTGGTTGAAAGTACTTCTTACTTAAGGTTCTTACCTGCTCAAATCCTACACATTGATATCCATTTCCTAGGTCTAGCCTTTACAGTAGTATCATCAAAAATCTGTGTTACCTCTCTGATTAGAATTTTCAAGTAGGCTCTGGCTTCTCAGTTCTACAGATTTACACAGCCTAAAGACTTATTTTAGGTTTGCACTGCCTGGTACCGGTTTGCATTTCTCTGTATAACAGGTTACACAAATGCCCCAGACCTGCCAGTCATGCTGGTATGACCATAGTTACAGGTATTCTGTCCTAACTGATCGACAGAATGCTGTCGCTATAATACTGTCTATATATTATATAGGTGATTATCCAAATTTTACCATCAGTGGGTTTTGAATTCACAACCTACCACTTGAGGATATAACAACTTATCCACTTCACTAAGTCACCACACCCATATAAAAATATTTCTAAAAACATTTATATTCAATAAATTTAAAATAAAAATATTACTTCTTAAAGACAAGAACTTTAATTTAAAAAAAAATCTTATTAGTAATAAAAAAACCAAAAACAGAAAACTGTTCTAACATCTAGTAAAACAGGTTTTAAAATTTTTAAAAGAATCAGGTTCAAAATCAATTTAGAATCTTAACCTTATATAGCCCTTATGTGATTGACAGATTAAGTTTCTACCAATCCTTTTGATAACTACATATAAAATATAAAATAACTTTCTTTTGATTAGCCAATTACTTACAATTATGTTTAAAGTAATTTTTAAAAATGTAACATTTTATAAAAATTAAACTCAAAGAAGTGTTAACAGTCACTATGCAAAATAATCCCAAATAATTTCACACCTAGAGGTACCTCACTTAGAAGATGAAATTTTTATGTAGGTTGTGACTATAGACTATGTAATTACTAAATCGTTAAATACAGCTAAGTTATTTAAAAAAAACTAACAATACAACTACTTTTTTTTAACAATAGATAAGCGATTTCCAAGCTATGTTAAAAAGGTTTAAAGCATAAAGAGTATTAATACATAAGAATAGAGTTAGTAATGAGTGGTTATACGTGTATATATATAGAGATTAATGAATCTTATCATAACGGGCTTTGGGTATAATAAACGATAGATCCTATATTAGTTCGGTATGAAAGGCGTAATAGACAGCATAGGCTAAGTTCAATTTTATTGGCTGATCAGCAAGAAGTTTGTTCATCTTTACTTCGCACATTTTATAACTTGTGCACGTGATATTAGAAACTTTAAATCAAAGAAACCAACGATTTTTACTAGTCACTTCATTCTAAAATTAAAAAATTTAATATACAAACTTCGTGCTACACACTGATATTGACAAAATCGCTTCTAGACAAGTTGGTGGAACAACTGGATCCGACTGGATGTCAAACGCGAATATAAAAGTTAAGAGGTAAATCGTGGTTAAAGGGTATAAAAATAGCGAATTTAATAGTAAAAATTACCGGAAGTTGATATGGTTTTTCTATAGGGTTGAAATGCAGCTAGCTTACAATGAAAAGTTTTTTCATGCCAAGTAAACCTTCCTTGAGTTTCTAAGATTATATAACAAGTCATTCTGGTAGAATTATTCAAATTGGTTCGGTAGATCGCGAGCTATTGACATTTCCTCCTTTATAACTATATGATTTTTACATAATGCCAGAAACTTTCGGTATTCCAACATTATATGAAAGTAATAGTAATTTTCCGCCAATTTTTATTATGAAATTTATACCCTTCAACTGCGATCTACCACTTAAGTTTTTAAAGTACCATCTGACGAAATTTTAAGCCATATTAATTATAAAAAAGAAATGTCTTCACTTTCAAGTTGAAAGTTCTATTATAAACAATATAAAAACTTTGTGCATCAATGTTTTCCAAATAAGACTTTTTTTTCTTACGAATATGATGTAATTTAATTGGTTGATTGTCACATGGCTCACAATTAGCCAATAATAACGTGTTATTCAATTTCATGTGACGAGAAAGTTATCTATTCGACATCGGACAGATCTCTATTGTCCTAATTCCATTTATGCCAACCTTGGACAGAATTTCTCAGCTCGACCACTACGTTATAACGAGAGTAGACTGGACAATATCTATAAAACCAAATCATATAATGTGATGGGAATCAAGTCATACGTATACATCTTTGGGATAATCAAATTTGAACTAATTTATTGGCTGTTTTTCTTTTGGAAGTTTGTATTACCGCACAAATAAGCATACATGTCGGAAAAATACGATATATCGATATGGAATTTTAAAATATCCGTTATTTAAAAAATCTCTTATTTCGTTATATACATACTTATTATATCCAGATTTAACAATTTGCTGTTTATTTACAAAATCTATGTTAAAAATCAGCATAATAATCTATTTAACATTATATATAAATTTATTTATCTAATAATCAGATTTCTAAAATAAGCAATTATTTTTGAAGTTCTATCAATTTACATAACTAAAATATGCAGTGAGTGAAAAAGGCAAAGTGAAGTTGAAAATAATGTATTTATCTCCGGACATAATAGATATATATTCAATTTACATGCATTTGGCTTTGTATTTGCATGCATATATTTTGTTAAGTCATGGAAATAAATATATAGTAATAAGTTTATGAAGGTGACCATGGCTTATAACAAATTTCTGGTTGTAGAATAAAAACCAAAATTGTCTACGAAAAAAAATAATAACGAATAGGTTCGGCACATGTAATCACACAAAGTTGTTCGTAAACACTAATAAAAGATTGGATTTATCAATATTTAATTAAATTTGATTATTTTAAATAGACTATCTTGAATTGATACGGAACCTTAAACATGAGTCTAAATAGTAAATAAATTCATAAAATCAATAAACTAATTGTTTTTCTTTCCGTTGTCATCTATTTCCTCATCATCTCCATCTTCAACAGTTGTACGAAGATCCCTATCTTCTTTTCCTTTATCATCATCATCATCATCATCCTTCTTTTTGGGTTCCCATGCCCAAAGTGGAATAAAACTATCGATAAAGCCAACGTCCGCAAATAAATTAGGAAATATCCATATGCCAGGAGGTACGACTATCATCGTGATAATGAACAGCACAAGTCTGACCACAGCAAGGATCATAAACACTCCAAAGAGACATAATATAGCCACTGATATGTACCAAACCATATCTCGTAATATAGGTGGCCAAAGAGGAAACAATACTGCAGCAAAAACGATTCCTATTAACCCAAACCCTCCCAAATAATTCATCAATTGTGATCCTTCATAAAACCAAGCATAATATTGGTCATCGCTCCATTGTTGTACAGACGTAACGGATAAAGGTTTATTACGAGCACCACTTTCACCTCCGGAACGCTCAACGCGTAAGTAAAAAGCATGAGCCATCACTTCACTAAGAACACGAGATGCCTCAGCTTCATCGGTAATTTTTGGAACGTTCTTTAATTTTCCATAAGATTCTTTTAAAAGGGCCTTTATAGCAGATTTCCCTATTGAATGTCAATATATTATGCCCCTGGATTATTTAGTATGTTGGGAGATACCAATAGCAATCACAATACTCACCTTTGAAATAGTCCACTCTCTTTCCGTTTAAAATGCCTTGCCGGATTTTTAGGTGTGATGTAGATCTCAAGTATTTAACAACATTAAGAAGTTCTGGTGGTGCTTCAGCTTGCTTTACTTCCATTTTCTTGTCACACTTTTTAAAAATTTCTCCGAAAGTTGATCTGAAGACTAATCGAAAAGGGGGATGTAAAATTTCCACACAAAGCCAACTTTTATTTCTTTTTTAAATATTGACCAATTGAATTTGACCACATTCTTTGTGATCAGTGATGCCGCAAATATTAATTTTATTGGTGTTCGCATCAGTATTATGTAATGTAATATCCCTGTTTATTTAAAACGATTTTTTCTTGGTGTTTCTAACGTTTACCGTCAGTAACAAACGGTTTATCGTTTTCGATTATTCCCTACTTGTATATGTCAGCATTGGCCAATTTTTGTAGACCATCCTTAGAGCATCCAGCTCTAACTGAAATATTCTGCTGCAATTATCGTTAATTAGCAAATTCTGCGGTGACGTATAAATACCAATAATTTTTATTCTGCGCAGATTCTGCCACTGCAGGACCCTGGACACTCTAATCATTCTGTGATATCGAAAAAATTGAAATGAACTTCACATGCTCCGATAGACCATATCACGTGCAGTGAGCCTGATTTATTATTGGCTGCCCTAATTTTGTAGAAAATATATATATATATTTTTTCGGTATTAAGGTGACCTCTTTGGTCGTAGCTTTTTATTAATACTTATATCGGGTACATGTTTTATATAGACGTATCTATAATGAACTATTAGATAAGTGTACAACTGGTTATGTGTGTAACTTTTCTATATTATTTATTTAAGAAGTCTGCCTGAAGGTTCTTTATCAGTTGTTATATCTAACATCCCTGCTTAGATGTTTCATTTAAACCTTCTGATCTAATCTTGATATTAATTTCACTGGATTACAGACTCAGATCTATTCATTTTTAATTATAGGATTATAATCCTTAGACTATTTTTATCTTTGAGGTAAACCTACCAAAATGAATCATATTCTTTTTTACTACTAATCTGGTTTGACATTATAATCAAGATCAACACTTGCAATTAGAGTTATTTCTTAAACTGTTATTACCTTTATAAAGTTCATTCAAATCTTGATACTTATCTTTTCGATTTCTTCTTCATTATTTTTTACTAGTCACAATTAGAATCAATAATGAACTTTCTCAGACTTTCAATCCAAATGATCTGATATTTTGTAGAAAATATAACATTATACAAACTTTAATATATATATATATATTTATATATATATTTTTATATATATATTTATGTAAGTATTTATTTTTTTTTAGATTGTTTTATTTTTAATTACTGTTTGTATTTTAATAGATATTGTAATAGAATTTTTTTTTTCTATATTAGTATATATTTATTTTTAGTTCTATATTATATTTTATAATTTTCCTAATATTTTTACAT